ATGTTAAGAAGCCTTACTTGGAAGTCGTCTCCACTGTGGTCCACTAAATCAAAAAGTGAATTGGGATTGGTCATCCAAGGCACTGGTTGACAGTAGCGCTATATCACGAATTGACAGATGGTGGAATTCATGGGTCATTAAGTTCCACCGGCCCAAGTGGCTATCAAAGGTCACTCAGGTTGGTCTGGCAACCTGACTGTACAGGACTCGATCCCTAGTACAGTCAGAGACTCTCCCTGCTGGAGAGTTCCAAGATTGGACGAAATATCTGTCTAGTACTCAAAACTGGTTTTCCTTTGACCTCTCTAACTCATTTTAGTTCGTGATGAAAATCTAACAGCTGAAACTATTCCCAAATTTCCACAAATCCTAAAATCTGAAAAGATTTATTTAGCAAAAAGAAAATATTTTTTTCTTTTCAACAACTTTTATTTCAAGCTAAACTATAGAATTTTATGTTAGGTAAAAGGGGGTAGTTAAAACAGTCAAGTTGAAATCATTGAACCAATACACTCATATAATAAAAGATTGACATTCGCTCAAATTCCCTTTGTCTTTTTTTGTTATATCAATGGTCGATGGTCGGATGTGTAGTGTAAAGCTTAATGCTTGACTGAGTAACCACTCGATGTAGGACATTTGATAGAAATTTATCAATTCAGGTTGTAATACTTTTAGAAATCACACAAAAAGTAGTGAAAAAAAGTATTATTGCTGCTTAATACTTATAGGTACGATAGATAGAGTAACTAAATGAAATTTACAGTATCTGTAAGTCAATCGATAAGGTTGAGATGGCTAGGACACGTGTTACGCAAAGCAAATTGTTGCTATCCTCATTGAGCACGGTTAACTGACACAGGATCAGGATGGAACAGAGTTAAGGGTGGTCAAATCAAGACCTAGAATCAAACCATGAACCATTTCACTGCCAGCCATTTGGGGAGTCGAAGACTGCTGCTGGCTTGGGGTCTCTGAGACTCTAAATAACCTAAGGCTTGGGACTGTTGGTGATATACGGCTGTCGGAGATGTATTCACCCCTTTTTTAATCTCCTAGATCCATTAAGTACTCATCTCTCTTCAAGTTACTGTTCCTTATTCCGTATATTTCTGTTCATTAAAGCTCTTTTGAATTTTTCTTCTCTATCTTTGTGAGTTATCCGGAGTGTGACACCGTGAAACTAAACGTAGAACTTTGCACAGAATTGCGTCAGATCAAGTCCGCCGATCAGTTTTAGTCATATATATAAGGAAGTAAACGTGATTTATGGGTAACCTTATGGTCTTGACTGATAGATAGGACTAGACACATTACACTAGTTACTGACTAGTGTCCAATCAAAAATATCCAATACAGTCCTACAGGGGGTCAATCGCGAGCCTGAATAGCTCATTGGTAACGTCTCTGATTGCAGCACTGGGTGACGCGGGTTCGAATCTCAGAAGGGACATGAGTTCCTTCAAGGTTGCAGATACACCTTGCTAAATGGTGAGTGCCAACTTGCACGAAACCTAGGTCCAAGGCTTCCTGTGGCCGATTGCCTCCAACCATCTAATGCCAACAATTCACAGTGCACCGTAATGGCGAACCACCTATTATGGTGGCCACATTGCAAGATGGACTGATAGAATTCAGTTTGCAGCGAAGATAGCACTAGTCACATTACACTAGTTACTGACTAGTGTGCAATCAAAAAAACCTTATGGTCTTTTTATTATTGACAGAAATGATATGCCTCAAACATGTGTGGTAGCATAACTGATAAAACGTCTTTATTGAATAATACAAGTTAAAGGAGAACTTTTCTATACACATTGTAAATAGCTATTTCTAGCAAATTATTGGTAATGCTATGAAGAATAAATACGTAAGTAGTTTTCAAGAGAACCATTAAGTCGGTTCCCAGTGGCTGAATGGTCTACGAAGTTGCCTTGTAATCGGAAGTTCCTGGGTTCAAATCCTAGTGGGTGCATGATTCTGACGAGCCCTTGGCTAGGAAGATGGTTTTCAATGGTTCGCTAACAAATATCAAATCGTGATCAAACTTGAAACCAAAGATAGTGTACAAATTAAGTCTGTTTACATTAACTACTCATAAGTACTAAGTTTATTTTGTCATATATATTAGTGCTATAACTTTTAATCTGTCCTGTGAATATTACCCAAAGGAACGGTAGGGATTCGGACATATATATATATATATATATATATATTACAGACTATTAATTTAATTGAAGATTCTGTGTCCGGAATAAATCATTTGCAACAAAATATACTAAAAATCTGTTATATTTATTAAAGCACTTTTCAGGACAGAGTCATTAGTTAATATTTATGTAATACAGACATGGAGATGTGTTACCGAAAAACAGTTGAATGGTTATGACATTCTATTCTAATGACCTAGTATTCCAATGGTCGTAATCCGTAAAATAGGCTTATATCGATTAAGTTTGGCTAGACAAAACTATAATGTGGTAGATTTTACCACTCAGTAATAACATTTTCTGAATGTGTTAGCATCAAAACCTATGATACTCCATTATTATTATTATTATTATTATTATTACTATTATTATTATTCCCTTAGGTTCCGAGTGAAATATGGGGCTTCAGCAACACATCTCCACTTTGTTCTATTTTGTGCTGTCCTCTTCAGCTGCGCTCACGATTGCTTTTAAACTCTTATCTCCTCCATGTCACCCTCGCACCGACGACTCACTCATCGCTTCCCATTAGGATTCCACTCTAGAGATGACCTGCATTGCTCAATGGTCTTCTCCTTAGTGTGCACCCGATCTATCTCCATTTTCTCCAACATGTTTGCCAAGCGATAGGTTCTTGGTTGATTTGTCGCCAGCCAGAGTTTCTTCTTGCTAATTCTTTCTGACCGGCTGGCAGACCATTTGATCTTCATTATGGAGTTAGCGAAGGCACCTGTTGATAAAAGTCTATAACTTGTTGGAAATCCTTTTCTTGACACGCAGTGTAACTTTCTGACCCTTTATAGAAGAACTGTCTGACTGACTTCACATTAGTGTTGAAAATGAGAATCTTGTTCCTTATACTGACTGAGTGCAGTACAGAGGATTTCCAAACTGGTTTCAGATTGATGAAGGCGTATCTCGCCTTTCTGATTCTGACTGCCTGGCTGGCTTTGACATCTTCATCAGTTCCGACTGCCTGTGATTGAAAGCGTGCTTCCTGGCCAGGTAAGTGAAGTAAGTAACCTCTGTTAAATCTCTCCTGCTGATGGTGATTGTTGCTGGTTGCTGTTACTGTTGGTTGGTTATCTTCATCCCCTCTGTCTTCTGTAGGTTCACCTGGAGTCCTACCTTCGCTGCTTGCCTCTTTTGCCGGTTTATTTTTTATTTTTGCCTGCCTCTGAGTTTCCGAATTTGTGTGACATTGAACATAAATCATCCACGCTCGAAATCCAGATCTTCTAGAGTCTTCTTATTGGTGGTCCAACGTATTCTTGTCTTCTCAGTCCCTGTGCACAGTCTGACGCACAATTCAGTCGACGACAAAGTAAGAATATCATCGGTGACAATAGGCAGACAGCCTTGTCTTACTCTTGTGTTCACTTAGAACACCTTGCCAATTTTTCCATTGTGGATCACCTGACACGTGACATTGTCATATAGCCAGCTGTTGAATGAAGTTGATAAAGACTTGGTCACTGCACGCCGTAGTATTGAAGCAGTTCCAAAAATACTTCTCGATCAATGCTGTCGAAGGCTATACTACTCTACCTGGGTACTATTCAGTAATATATTTACTGATGAACTCATATAAAATCAAGCATAAGAGTGACTAATGGGGTGTTCCATCAAGTCCAATCAACGGGAAAATCAAAATAATAATAATAATTTACTTTATTCCAAAAACACTACTTATAATACAGAATGGAATTCTCAGCATTTGTCACAATACTGCGTCTGATTTACTCAAAATATATATAAAATTAAAAATTAAACCAAAATTAATCGGAGGAATTTGTCCACATTTACGACATAATTATTAGATATAATAATAATAATAATAATAACAGTGAGTTTGTTTCAAACGGTATTATCGATTCAGTTTGGGAGCTTTAGCATGTTATAGATTATTGGGTCTAATGTTCTGTTGATATAGTATTGTGAGGGGAAATGCAAAATTAACAGTTATAATACAGCTTAAAATTATGTCCACACTTATGAAAAAAAATAAACAAAACGAAAAAATTGTGAGGATTATAAATATAAGAAATACAATAACAACGAAGAATGATGCTTTAAGGGTAAAGGAAATGGTTTATTTAGTAGTGCAAAGAAGGTTAGTTAGTTCATGTCTGACACTATTTTCGTCACATAAAGTACGTGCTAAATATGGTATAGTGGAATTTTTATACTTAGACGTACGTGCATAAATTCTTCTAAAAAGAGACTTCTTGTTTTACCTGAGGAGACACAAGGTTGGAGCTGCGGGTAGAGTGGGTGCTCAGAGTCTGACAAAATTCCTTTAGCGAATTTGTTGCATGACATCAAGTGCCTATCAGTGACAATGTCAACGATATGGCCCAATGGGATACCACTCGCCCTTCTGGCAGTCTTCAGAGCCCTTCGAAGTATGACAGTCTTTTCTAAGCAATCCAGAAGAGAATAATGGTGAACAATAAAGAAGAACAGGTAAGATGCACGAGTTGATAAACTGTAAGAGGAGTGGTTGAGTTATGCCTGAGTGGCTTAACTTCTTAATGTAAAAAGTTAGACGAAATATTCTTTTAGAAATCGCTAAGACATGTGAGGACCAGGACAGGTCAGAAGAGAGAATTAATCCAAGATACTTAACTTAAGACTTGGTTTCTATATCAATATCATCAATTTTGCAGGGGTCATAGGAACCAACGGCTTCATTTAACTTAAAATTAAATTAAATATTTGCATTTATAGTTTTTCAGTTGTTTGCTTATTTTTTTTGAAAATTTCCTCTTCAAAACATTTTGCATCTAGTGGAAATCCAATTCCAAATATATCAAATGACCAACAATATTCTCCAGCTATTGGAATATCTTCATCTGGAATTTTTGCGAAAACAAATCAACAAAATTTAAAAGATACCGAGATGTGTAATTCACGTTTAACAGTTCAATGGAATGATACGCCTGCAGCCCCGATTACTGGTACCACTACCACGACCATTGCCAGTGCTCTTGGCAGTGGTCATCATCTCACTGATACTGTTGATTATCGCCAGTCACAATCTAACAGGATGGAATCATTTCTTGTCTCATTAACAAGTATACCATTCCCAATTGATGATGAAAATAGACGAGACGATGCAGCAACAGCAGGAGGAAGAGGAGGAGAAGGAGAAGTAGGAAGCATGCTAACTAAACAGCGTTTAGACGAAAAATTGCATAAAAGTATCTCAGATTATGACAATAGACTGCAAGGCCTAACTCGTGATGATGACGGTTATGAAGGCGACGTCTATGCTACTTCAGTGGCTACTGCTGTCGCTGCTGATGACGATGATAATGTTTGTTTCTCTGAGTGTTGTTTAACTGGTATTCGTCGACTACGTGATGGTCGTTTATGCTCATCAGCATCATGTTTACAAAGATTGTATAATTGTTTCACATGTTTCACTCATAAACGAAAACGTGTCTATAAACCTGTAAATAAGGAATTCACTGATGGTGATTATGTTGATGATGATAAATATGGTGCTACAACTGACACTAACGGTGATGAATTAAACAGTCTAAATGATGATGATGGTGGGTATGATGATTATGGGGATGATGAATTACCAAAGTGTACTAATCAAAGTGTACAGTGTAAAGCATTCACCTTTAAACCTATTATTGATGTATTAAGTACAATGTTAGATTTATCATTGTTACGTGAACCAAAATATTTAATATTATGGATTTCTAATTTAATTGGTGTTCTAGGTAAGTTAATTTTTTTTTTCACTTGCTTATTTTTCTTAAGAATTCAATGATTTTTGTTTCAAAAATATATATAATTTATAATTTTTATATTACTAACGAGTAAAACAGTGCTAGGACGTGTTATGATGAAATCACACAGAAATAGGGACAGCGGGAGTCCCTGATGCACACCACTAGTTATCACGACTTCAGGTAACAACTCGCTGCAAGCTCTTACCTGGCTGCATGAGTTCGAGTACAGTGCCTTGAAGATATGATCATTACAACCTCTTCGTGGTCTAAAAACTGCCTGATTTTCCCTGTGTTTGTTTCTCCCGAGCACCACTTAATCTACGCATGATTATTGGGCCTAGAACTGTAGATACCACATTAATCAAGCTGATCCTCCTTTTAGTGATCATATCTCACAGTTATAAAGAAGCATAGGGTGAATTGCTGTAAAGTACTCATACGAGATGTTGTTTTTATCGACCATTCCATACCACGTAAAACGAGGAACTGAACACAGACCCCTATGGTCATCAACCTGAAACCAATTTGGAAATCTTGTGCACTCTGCAGCATAAAGAGCAAGACTTGGATTTTCAACGCGACTGTGAAGTCAGTCAGTTCTTCTCTGCTGGTCAGAAACTTGCACTGCGTGTGACGAAAAGGATTTGCAACAAGTTACAGACATTTATTAACTGCCAGCTGCCTTCGCTATCTCCATACTGAAGATAGAATGGTTTGTCAGCTGGTCAGAAAGAATTAGCAAGAAGAAACTCTGGCTGGCAACAAATCAACCAAGAGCCGATCGCTCAGCAAATATGTAGGAGAAAATGGAGATGGATCGGTCATGCGACATTGAGGAGGCCGTTGAATGACAACGCGCACAATGTAGTCCATTGCTCGAATGGAACCCAAATGGGAAGCGACGAGTGGTTCTTCGGTGTGAGGGTGACATGGAGGAGATCGTGTGAGTTGGAGGAGGAGATGAGAGATTATGGTCAATCGTGGAGCCAGTTGAAGAGGACAGCAGAAAATAGGAAAAAGTGGAGATGTGTTGTTGAAGCCCCATGTTCCACTCAGAACCCAAGGGAATAATAATAATACCTATAAACAAAACGGTTAGCATTTTATCGTTCACTTTCAAAGGCCATGTCCCTATCATGTAGGTGAGACTTCCATTCTGACTTAATGCTGAATAACAATATCTACATTTATTGTTAAGATAACAATATATGACTTACTTTTTATTATCTATTAACTATTTGAAATTGAACTTCGAACTCATATATATTCACATTGATTTTGTTTGTTTGTTTGTTTTCTTCGTCTTTTTTCCTGAAATTTTGCACAATTTACCAAACATGATGAATAATTTATCAAAACTGTTTAAGGCCTGTATGTACCATTGATCTACGTGAGTGATTTTGCATCTGTTTATGGAATATCAAGTAAATCATCCTCTTATCTTTTATCAATAATGGGTGAGTTGTTTCTTTTTTAAAAAAAATATTTTTGTTTCCCTGCATTTACTGTGTATTGTTTTGTTTATTTTCTCTTGATTTCTAAAAATTTAACACCTTTGTTTGAATTTTATTATTTTAGAGGTAAAAAGGCATGGCATTCATCATGTGATTAATAATTAGATATATTTATTTGATAAAATATATAGTGATTGACTGCACTTTATTCGATGGGTTTTACTTTCAATAGGCGCTTCAACAGAACATCGCCGTTTCATTCTGTTCTCTGCAGTCGTTATTAAAAGGGCTGTACAATCGGTCATAAGCTCTTATCTCCTCCATATCACCGTTGGTAGCCTAACTCGTCATTTCCTATTCGGAATCAGCTTGATGGCCAGCCTCGTGATGGTACTCAACGGTCTACTCATCGTATGTTCAATCTACCGTTCGCTGTTGGTACTTGGTTGGCACATTGACGGAGTTCCATGCTGCTAATTGTTTCTGGCCGACCCTGTGATCTTCAGGATGGAGTGAAGTTAGCTGTTGATAAAAGTCTGAAGTCTGTTGGAAATGATTTTACTGACAATGCTAAGTTTCTAACCCATACAGAAGAACTGACTGACTTGACACTAGTGTTGAACATCCAAATATTGTTCTTTATGGTCAGTGTAGTAGACTGACTGCAGTAGACTCATTTCACACTGATGTAAGTCAATCTTTCCTTTCCGATTCTGACTGGCTTTGACATTATCGGTTCCGTTGCCTGTAGTTGAAACGGTGCTGTCTGGATAAGTGAAGGGAGTTACCTCTTTCAAATTTCTTCGACTGAGAGTGATTGCTACTTGTTGTTGGTTGGTTATCTTCATCATCTCCGTCTTTTCTATGTTCACTTGAAGTCCTCTCTTTGCAGCTTCTTTTGTCAACTTGTTGGTTTTCGCATGTGAGCCTTCGAGAGTATGCGATAGCAGGGATAAATTGTCAATGAAGTCCGAAGCTTCTAGAGTTTTCTTGTTGTCTTGCCTTCTCTCTCTCCACAGTCTGACGCATAATCCAATCCACCACAGTCAAGAATATTATGGGTGATAAATTGGCAGCCTTGTCTTACTACTGTTTTCATTTCAAAGGCATCTTTAAGTTCTCCCTAATGAATCACTCAGTGTATGGAGTCATCATATAGCCGTTGAATGAGGTTGTTAAAAGTTCACGCACTGCACTGTGTTGTAGTGTTGAAGCAGTTTCCAAATCATTCCGTGGTTAACGCTTTCGAAGGTTTTCTTCAAATTTCTATGAAGTTTATGGATATTCTAGTATTATTTGCTGTTTAATTTTTAGCGCTAATTCGATTTTGTATATCTTTTATGTGAACATACTCAGCCAACAATAAAAAAACACCAATCATTATGAATAGGAGAAATTTATAAAGTAGTCGTTTGAACTAAGCGGCATCGTTTCGACTACAGATGGCACCAATGAGAATCTCAAATCCCAAGACAGGATCAGGAAAACAAAACGAGCGTTTATTACTCTGAAATCGGTGTAGAGAGAGATCTAGAGCACTCACCACAAAGAAACAACAAGATCAAAATATTCAATACCAGTTTCAAGTCAATGCTTGTATATGGTTCAGTCAATTGCAGGCTTCCATCAAAAGTCGGATGCTTACTCTGAATACTGAACGGACTAGACAGCAGCCGAAAAGAATAAGCAACAAGGGGCTCTTGCAGTGGATCAACTAACAAATATGCAGAGGGAAATGAAAATGGTGTGGATATATTCAGAGAATATTGTCTGGTGGTATCACACACCAAGTCGTCAAGTAGACTCCGAATGGGAAACGACGAGCTGGACTACCGAGTGTGACATGAAGAAAATCGTGTGAATAATGAGTGAGATTTCGTTGACAGTTATGGATCCCTCTGAAAACAACAACAAAAACAATAGAGAACAGAATGATTCGGAGATGAGCTTCTGAAGCTTCTATGTGAGATATGTGAAATACACACGCTTCAAATATGTAATTACATCATATCATAATTGCCAGCGTGTTCTCCTCTGAAATCAAAATAAGAATTTATTGAACTTTAGATTTTCCTGTCGATTGATTGGACCGAAGTGCTCGGTCTCAGGTTGCCCAAGAGGTGGCTCTCTTAGCCCAAGTGGTCTAGTGGATAACTCTTTGGCGTTTGAAACTATAGGCGCTGGGTTCGAGCCTCCGTGGGAACATCATTACTCACTGGTAAATGCAGGTACATCCAGTTGACGAGTCCCAAATAGGACGAAACACGCATCCTGGATTCCACCACTACTGGTCACCATCCACCAATCAAATTCTAACACAATAAAAATATTCTTAAAAGTTGTTGTTTTAATAGAGTCGAAATATTTCTAAACAAAAATTTCATCATTTTTATAAATCACATGATAGAGACTAAAACTTTTGATATAAAAAAGACCTATCAGAACTGATAAAGATTAGTGTTGTATAGTCTTCCATTAGCAAAAAATCTTATCATCAATTAACAGTTTGTGAGAATTAGATAAACCCTTAAAAATGCTCTAAGCTTAGTAATAATTTAAAATTAAACAGACCTTATTATCTATTCTGGACATCAATTGCAAATTCAAATATATATATATATATATATATATATATATATATATATATATATATATAGGGATTTGAATAATTGGGATTTCTAAAGGAAACTACGGTGAAATTCCACCTCCACGAACTGTGTGAAATGCAAATTTCTAATTAACTGGCAAATCGAGAATTTGTTTTAACAGTATTATACATGTTCTCTGAGTGAACTACGTGTATTGGGTTAACATAATATATGAAGGATTTCATCATGAGCTGACATCGGTTAGAGAACCACTGGAAAACCTGGGAGTACTGGACAGCTGTTTTGTCCTAGTTTGGGACTCTTCAGCATTACTCAGTACGAAACAGCTGTCCAGTATTCCCAGGTTTTCCAGTGGTTCTCTAACCGATGTCAGCTCATGATGAAATCCTCCATGCAATCAAACAAAAATCCCTACAAAACCAATACTTGAAAATAACATAATATAGTTTTATTATAAATTCACAGAGTAAGATATCTCCATTCTACCAATATATATATATATATATATATATATATATATATATAATGCACTTTAATCGGGTAGGCGTATTGCAGTCGAATATAACTGCAAATTCCTGCTGAGAACCAGTTGAAGCCAGCTTTTTGTAGCAGAATGTTGTGTAGAAAGAGGTGTGTGGCATTTTCGACAGCATTTATGTGTTACCATGCTGATCAAATACTGTGATCTTTCTCAAATTTGTAAAGTACAATGTAATAAAATTTCACTCTACAATATACGTTTATGCCAATAAATAACTATAGTTTATGATAAAGCAACAATAAGCAGAGTGTACAACACATTCAACTCAGTGAGGTAACCTTTTGACCTCATCTTTTCAGTAATAATATTCACTGGCTCTCTATGCCTTACATACGTAGCATCAGTGCGCGATAATAATTCTGTATGAAATCAATCTTTCAGAAACGGACATCTTTGTGTAGTCACTGGAAGAATTCTGGAACTGAGAAATAGTATCAGCTATTGATGCGTATTTGTGTACTTCAACCTGGATGATTTATTTGCGAAGCTCCCGTCGTCTGCCTAGACAACATCTCCAGTGTAGGCTTCAGTGTGAAGTGAATTTATTTGAATTCTCTATAAATGATATAAGCGTTTCCTTTGACAGTCTTGTCTGTGATATTCATCAATTAATGATCGTCATCCGTAGTGACATGTATTTTTACGATAGACTGAAACGGCAGGAGAATACCGCAATATTGTACTTGATTTTCAAACATATAAAGCGGCAGAACACAAGAGTATATGGCTATGGAATCAATTCTAGGCAAAATACCTCTAGAATTTAATTGGTGTATGGTGACTAGCGATGGTGGAATCCAGGATGGGCATTTCGTCCTATTTGGGGCTCGTCAACTGGATGTACCTGCATTTACCAGTGAGTAATGATGTTCCCACGGAGGCTCGAACCCAGTGCCTATAGTTTCAAACGCCAAAGAGTTATCCACTAGACCACTTGGGTGACGAGAGTCACTTCTTGTGCAACAAGTCATATTAATTAAATTGAATTTTAGATTTTCCCATCGATTGATTGGACCGAAGTGCTCGGTCTCAGGTTGACATGTCGGCTTCTTGTGCAGATGCTTCGACGATGTCTGTGCATTTAATTAGAATTTAATTGGTGGATGGTGACTAGCGGTGGAATGTGACCCGTTGGCTCTCTTGGCCCAAGTGGTCTAAAGGACAACGCTTTGGAGTTTGAAACTATGGGCAGTGGGTTCGAGCCTCCGTGGGAACATCATCACTGACTGGGAAATGCAGGTACATCCAGATGACGAGTCCCAAATAAGACGAAATGCGCGTGCTAGTTGGATTCCACTGCCAGTCACCATCCACCAATTAAATTCTAATTAAATGCCCAGATATCGTCGAAGCATCTGCATAGGAAGCCGACATGTTAACCTGAGCCCGAGCACTTCTGTATTCTGCTTCTTTGTCTTCTTTTTATGTGTTCCATGTTGTTTCACAAGAAGTGTTCTTTTCTTCTCGCCGCCATTAATTAAATCCATCTCTCCGTTATTCAATATTCCTACAGATGATCTACATATTTGTAGCTGTATTTATATACTACTCATAAATCTTGTCAGTAGCACACACCACATATGAAATACGTTAATTATGTCTTTAATGAAACGTTTATGAATTTGTGAAGCGAATCAAATGGATGTTTATGTGCTGTAATCTCTTTAATGTGTTGATACCATTTCTGTCAAAATTACTATATACTGCTAAACGAAGCTGTATAACTACAAATTACTATTCCATTTTGTCTTCAAACACTATTTTATAATAAAAATAGTATTTTTACAATATGATAAAGATAATGTTATATTTTCGCTTATTATTGTTTTTATTGTTTTGTTTTAAGGTGGATCAAGTATTGTTTCACGTTTACTTTTTGCCTGGATAAGCGGTTTACCACATGTTTCACCGTTAATTGTACAAACAATCGCACAATTTTTACTTGGAGTGCTTGTTTGTGCAATGCCTGTGTTGACAACATTCACAAGTATGGCTGTTGCTTTTGCATTCTACGGTTTCTTAACTGGTAAGTTGAAAATATCTATTGCTAGGGTTGTTATGTTTTTTTTGATGATTTATGCTATAGCTTTTTAATACTTTTTTGTAAATAAAATGTCGTATTTGAAGGTTTTCTGGGTTGTTTTTTTACTACCAATGTAAATATTTTCTTATACATCACAGAACTTATAGCTTCGTGTAGAGAGGGGTGGCTAATTGCCTTAATTAAACACATCAGGCATCATACAATGAATGAGTGGCTCTTTGTCTGGTATATAAGGAATCTCTTCCGGATACCTAAGTTCCTAGGTAGCCAACAGTTATCTTATGAGATGTATGAATTCCGAAAGTTATCAAAGAAATAATTATTTAGGAACACAGTATTCAGCGAAGAAAGTCTTTTCAACGAATTTATTATCAAGTCGTACAGTCGTACATATATATGGTCTTTTTTATAGGAAATTATATCCGATGAGGGAATTGAAAATAAAGTTGTGAATACATGAAGTGGCTTAATGGTATACGAGCTCGTTGGCCTTGTAACCAGAAGGTCCTGAGTTTGAACCCCGGTGGGCGCGTACCGATGAAGAGTCCCAAACTGAGACGAAACATCTGTCCAGTACTCCCAGGTTTTCCAATGGTTCTCTAACTGATATCAGGTCACGATGAAAATCCTCCAACTAATTAGACAAAATCCCTACAAACCAATACTTCAAGTAATAATAGTATGAAATGTTATATAAATGTTATAAGGATTTAGAAAAAACAAGACCACAAACATCAAGTCAGTGGAAGTCAACACAGTTGTTACTATGATAGTATAACTGGGTAGATGATTTTCTCTTGTGTACGTAACTCTGATTTTTCCAACTGAATGTCTAGGGATTCAGTAATACGAAGGAGTTGAAAGTGTATTACCTTCGATAAGTTGTTCTTCACTTTGCAGATCACTTTGAAGTAGGCGTTTGTTGAGATGGAATGACCATCAGTGTTGATAAGATGTTCGATTATCGCACTTCTTATACAACCACTAATCCCAATTTGTAGCCATGCGGGATAGTGTTCTTGAACCCTTATGGACAGAATACACGTCGAACGACCAATATACCTGGCTGCACACCCATAGGTGAACTGATATATGCAGTTTTTATCCACTAGACCACTTGGTTGACCCAATAAAGCCGCCTCGTGTGCCATTCGTCTTCAGTTGTTATTTGTTTCACCTCATATTAATTTTTCTTTTAAAAGCCTCCTTTTTATTCATTTAACCTGGAGTTTAACTGTCTACATTGCTTTTTCAAGGTGTTTTTTCAACACTCAGTACAATAATCCTATATAATCTAGTTGGCATGGATCAGTTGACTACAGCTGTTGGCTTGATCACATTGAGTCGTGGTCTATCCAGTGTATTTGGACCTCCATTAGCAGGTATGATTTTTTTCCCCATAAAAAGTGTTTATGCTAAATATTGGTGATGATAAATAGATTGTTATGCGATTTTTTAGTGTTTCTTAAAGAAATTGTAACCACTTCACTGACATTTTAACACCTGAACTGGTCCTTTTATTTAACCTTTTCAACCTAGTCAGTATCTCTTATACCTGTATCCTTTTTATGAATTGGATGGAATAATTCAAAAACGGCAACCACTGATGAGAAGTTGACAAAATGATCAAAATGTTGTCTTTACTTTGCTTCATTTTAATTTATTGTTAAATTGATTCTTGTAGTATGCATCTGACCTTAAAGAGTGCTACAGGAAGATTATTCATTGTTATATCAATGAAGTATACAGTTAATCACCTTTTGGGTAACTGTAGAATCACATCTTATTATTGGTATTCGTTATTTAATATTATTTAACGGTTGCTGACTGGCTGACTGACTGGTTTCAACGTAGAACTTCTTTTCACTGATGTGCAGCAGTTAGAGTTGCCACACTCTCTCCATGTAGCACACAAACGAATAGAAGAGAGTAAACAGAGAGATAATAAACAGAGATATGAGGCAAAAAGAATGGTAATATGGAATAACAATACAGTTTTATTGGATATGACAAATCACAAAGAGTGAATGCATCTGCGCCAGTCATTGAGAACGATTTTGAGCCATTACCAGTATTATTGTTTCCTTTAGTTCCTAGAGGAACATAGGGCTTCAGCAGTTCGGTTCTCTGCCAACGTTTTCACCTGACTCTAAGTCTGCCCACATGCTTTCATCTCCTCTTCATATCACCTCCTCCATGTCACCCTCTCATTGACAACCAACTCACCGTTTGGGTTCCACTCGAGATTTTCAGCCATAATACCAATTATTTCCAGCCTTCATTGGTTTTTTACCATCCCGAGGACCCCAACCAGAAATCAGTCCACACCTCCCTACTTGGCGTAAACTAACTGTTGTGGATTTAATTGGCTGATGAAGCCATGTTTTGGTCTGACCACCACTAGTTCTTTTCCAACCTGATCCATCCTATGTCAGCTAACACTGCCCATCGCTCGATGAAGGCGATGGTTAGGCATGCGTAATGCCTACCTACCACTCGACTGGTGCCTAACCTCAATATTGCTCACTTTACTATACCATTTAACACCGAAGATAGAACGCAGACACCTATTATCAAAGACAACTGGCTGGCTTTTTCTTATCTTCCACTCTCAATGACCATGTCTCACAGCCAGCCAGCCATAAAGGAGGACGGAGCAGACTGGTGAGCAGTACAAACATTCTTCGGTCGACAGCCAGCCGGATATCACGTCTACTAAGCCAGAGATGGCGTAAGTTGGCCAGTGCTAAACAAGCCTTCTGTATCCATGCTAAGATTTTCGTCAGCGATCAACCCACTGGCACTGACTGATGCAACTTCCTGTTGCTTTTCGATAGTGAAATTACATCATAAAAAAGAAAAGATTCTTTTAATTTTACTGAAGATGCCCATTAAAAATATAATAATAGTAAGGCTTTCTTCCAGACAATTTGTGAACACATAGAAAGGAATTTTCAGCCTTCCAAAACATTTCGTCTTCCTACAGGATTTACATGTATAGCAAATAATCTGAAGTATACCATGTGACTTAGTGTTGTTTCATATGAAGTGAAAACCAGCTCTGTATACTTTTTCTTCATTTCTTTCAAGAATTGTACAGCAATTAGTTGAGAGCTAATTAAATCATATGCGCAAGTTCATGTGGTGATCATGTGATATAATTGTACTCCTAAAACAATTAGAAATGCTGAAGAGTTTAGACCAGTCATTTAAGCAGAAGAATATTCCCTTTCGATAACTTCTTCATCAGATCATAACAGCTGAAGAGTGATCGTTAATAACAACATTAATACTTTAAACTACACTCAATCTATCTGTCTGTCTTCGATATAGAACTTTGCGCTGATGTGCAAGTCGCTACACTTCATGTAGCACACAAAGCAAGAGAAGAAAGTAGAAGAAATGCATAATAGAGACAGTAAACAGAGGTGTAAGACAAAGGAATGATAATAACGAAGAACAAAACAGTTTAATTGGAAATCATAAGTCACAAGGAGTGAATGCATCTGCGCCAGACATTGAGAACGATTTTGAGCCATATCACCAATTGTTTCCAGCCTTCATTGGTTTTTACTGTCCCGAGGACCCTAACCAGGAAGCCTACACCTTCCTACGTGACTTAAACTAACTGTTGTGGATTTCATTAACTGGTGAAGCGATGTTTTGGTTTGACTGCCGCTAGCTCTTTTCCAGCCTGACCCTACATCAGCTAACATTGACCGTCGAGGAAGGCGATCGATAGCGAGGCATACGTAACACATGTCCTAACCATCTCAATCGATGTAATTTCACAGCCTCGTCTATTGATTTCTCCTGCTTACCTAGCACTCAGACACTCAATCAATATTATCTGTAGATTACAGTTCTTAAGTATCCAGTAATAGAGAAATAAAATGCACCAGTAGAACACTAAACTGAATATAAGATAAATTATGGAAAGTACCACAGAATTTATTAATTTATAGGTAGCAATAGTATCTGTCCAGATCTGTTTCTTTGACACACAAAGCTCCAATTGATATTATAAGCGAGTTGGTCTGTGATGTTCGGAGTGTTCGGTATCTAGAGGCCTTTGGTAATTTATTCGATAACCAATAGACGATAAAGAAAGACTAACTCTTCAATGATGAACTAATACAGAGATTTTGATGGTTTTAACCCAAACACTGATAGGTGTTCCCAATCACGGAATATGAATGAACCTCGATTCGCTTGTTGTATAAATAAACCTTGTTACTATGGATTTATTGTTCAGATATTTGACTTTTGAGATTAACGCTGCTATCGACTAATTAATCAACCTGTTTAACTGACTTTTGCGTCGGTGGCCCAGTGGTAGAGTGCTCGCCGACCACGCAGGCGGTCCGGGGTTCGAACCCTGACCACCAAGGCACTACTTTACCTCGTTAAGCCAGTAATAAGACTGGTAAAGTGGGAAGGTTGGGCATGAGGCTAGCAATCCCATCCTGTAAAAATAGTCACCACTGTAACAGAAACTTCAAGCCCTCTACCTTGAAGCCGTATGTTCCACTAGGAACGTACAGGAATAAAAAAACTGACTTTTGTGTCAAATTGATAGTGTTATGATTTGAAATGTGATCTGCTTGTGTTTATTGCGCTTCAATGCACTTGAGTTTGTGTCCTGTGTTCATGATTTCATTAACATGATATGTATGCATAACTAGCTACTTTAATGGTCTAATTGTAATCTACAATATTTTTTTCACTTTTTATCTGATATATGTATTTATATGTATGTATGCACGCATGTGAGTATGTATTGCTTGGCGAAGTGAAAGAATAGTGATCCCAGCACACGACCACCTCAAAGATTTCGGAGTAACCAATCAGAGCTTAGCTAAATTATGATGGAGAAATAAAATTTACTAATGATCACGAATGCTCTTCAGGATTTATGCAGTAGATTTAATCAGAAAAAACTGCTTAGAAAACCAAATCCTAACCCCCATCCCTAACTCTAAATTTTTAACTTGTAACTCTAGCTACATTAATCTGAAACGGTAGTAATTCAGTTGAATATAAACACTTCTGTGAGAAACTATAGGAGTTATTCTCGCAACATTTTAAGTAGAGAACTTATTAAGTATTCCTTTACTTCTTTTAACGTTTATTTTCACTAATCTACCGTTCTTTTCCCACCTAAATTTACCTGGTATACATTGATTAGCGTGCACTGCTGGTTCAGAGGTAGAAATCGCTCAACAGTCACGCACGTGGTTTGTGTTCGACTCCTGGTCTAAACGCTGCCTAGATTATTAATTGGTAGTAAATATGGAAAGCAGGGAAGGGTTGGTGTGAAGCTATTGAAACTTCAGAACTTGAAGCTTAATGTTCCATTTGGAACCCAAAGTAATAAAGGATTCAGATTAATCGCTTCTCAAGTAATTGAATTGGATCACAAATCGTTTCGATCACGAATTTTTAAACCTCTCCGTAATATCTCTGTTATCAGACTTATTGTCTGCAAAAATATAGTTGAACACCCTAGTTCCCCAGTTTATACAACATCAAGGAGAAGAAACAAATGGGTAGTTGGCAACTAGTTACTTCAAGAAGTCGTGTGCACCAACATGTGGTATTGCTTGCTTTAAAACGCAGTAAACTATTGTTAGCCAGACAGCTTTACGATACTTGCGTGCTAAATTTTTACTAAGAATAGAAGTTGACCACTGTGGTAGATTATGAATCCATTATGGAGAAAAATATTCATTTTGGAAATGTCTCACAGTGTTATACAGTAATATTTACTGAGGACATTTTGAGGACAATTAATTATTGCTACTCATAACCATATCAAGTTGTTCACACAACTTCCCGACATCGTTTACATGATTCCATTATTTCTCATCCCTTGATTTGATTGGTAGTAATATTTTCCTTATCTCTTATACTGGCAGTGAGTCATTCTTATTGCATGTGTTGGGTGTAGAATTGGTGAACAAAGATGCAGTAATCAACCTCTCCCTCCACCCACTTATGCTACTTTTTAGAACTTTAACTCCGTCACACCCTATTTTGTGGCTGTGTGTTAATGCATGCAGTTCAACTGCTGAGTTATTTTTCTAAATTACTTATCTTCGTGAGGTCAATCATTCTACACTTAGCTAAATTCGTATGATCTGACAGTCTGACTACCCCCTATCTACTGGTTTGACCTAAGTAGTTGGCCTCAGTCATAGTCATTACAAGGTTGTTCTGTAAATTACGTTATTTTGTTTAATTGAGCGAATAGGATCCTTTGATGTACGGAGTTTGTCATACCTGACTGACTTTGTAGGTCTAAATGCAACCCTACTTCGTGCTTTATTAAGAATCCTATGTAGAGTTTCAGATGTCCCCTCTTCCTATGGTAAAATTGTAGATGCCTCATTGAGTCTACACTCAACACATGCATAGGAGTGACTCATCACTAATACCAGAGATGTGGAAAATATTACTACCAATCAAATCAGGAGGTGAGAAATAATGATATTTATATAAACGAAGTCCGGAAGTTGTGTGAGTGACTTGATATGATTATGAGTAGCAATAATTAACTGTGCTCGCAAAATCATCAGTAGATGATACTGTATAACAAACACTGTGAGACATTATCAAAATGAAAATTTCTCTCCATAATGGAATCATCCTCTACCACAGTGGCCAAATTTTATTCCTATATCAGTATAAACCCTTGATAAACTCGCCTGAAAGCAACTGTCTGGTGTTTAGATGACTTCGGTCTGCCTGGTAAGCAAATTTTACTATATGATGTGAATAGTTTCTAACTACTCATAATATATCAGTAGTATATAGTCTTTTGCAAATTTGTTTACTTTTTTGATTACCATTCATGCTATCAAGCAGATCAGATTTTCTGATCTGAATTTGATTAATGGCATGACCAGTCTACCAAAAGTAGCCAACCATAAACCAGATGGTTTGAAGTGATTTAGCTCTTTGAGGTTTTGATGAGTTAGACGTCAAATGAGCTAAATGGCCATCTGGTGTTGAAATCACCTATCTCTGATTGGCTTGAGCAAACGCTACTAGGTTGGCCGTGAGTGGTATGACAGTTTGGCTGTATTGATTGAATGAGTACATGGAACAGCCTCATTGATTGTTTAGTTCAACTTCTGACGTATATTAATAATAATAATAATAACAATAATAAACTGACATCACATACCATTTAGTTAATAGATATGTGCGCATTAATATTTCTCTTCTGTCCTGATTTTTATTAGTATTATTACATATTATAAAGTAATGAATTAATATATCTATTTATTCATTTATTTGTCAATTTATTTGACCCTTCTAGTTAACGACTAATTCATACACTAGCTAGATTCAATCAATTTTCAATGAATTAACTTTTAAATTTTGCCTTGCTGCCGCCAGCCAATTGAAACAAAATCTCTTTTTTTGTATTGGGTTCAAAGTTTTCACATTATACATATGTATCATAAGCTATGTTGACACGCAATCTACTAAACTAGCATATTAGATAGATAACTGCTTAAAAAAACGTATGTAGGTGATGTGAGCCTGAGAAAAATGAGCCTATATCTCAAAAAATTACTAGCTAAGCCAGTAATAGTTGATTCACAACTGTCGGATGAGACATTGTGAATATTTAGCGAATACCACCTTACAAGTTTATAGATAAAAAAATCCCCAATAATATTAATACTGATTGATTGACTTGATGAGTAGTGCTTGCTAATCAGCCAGATCTAAACAGTGGATGACTTTTTTTCTCATTTATGGCCGAGCCCATCAGTGAGTGGTGTACCAACACCGTATTTGTTTCAGCTCACAGAGCTGAATCCGTTCAAACCATCCGATTTTCTGGCTAACTACATGGACGAGCTGGTAACACGCTGAATTGAATCCTGTTTGTAGTTTGTAATTTATAAAGTTCGAGGTTGAATTTCTCAACAGTTTCCATGGGAAATCACAATTATTCACAATCATGATACGTGAACTGCTTGCTACGACAAGAAAATGCGCAAAATACATGACAACATCATATACTACTGGTTAATGAATATAGGTAGTCATATACCAGGCATATCCATCAGTAGTAGATTTAGACCAAAGGATATGTACTACTGATGGATATGAGTAGCAGTTGGAAGCCGCTCCTCACGTCAACCAGTAGTGTGTGTAAATTTGTATACACAGTTAGAGTTGACATGAGAAGGATATCTATCGCCTTTTGATTGCACCAAAGAGAATGTTGTCCGATAAACGGGAGCCAAATTATCTACAGGACAGACTCTGTTTAGTGACGTATTCAATCTTCTATTTGTACAATATTTTCACCTTTAAAATCAAGTTGAATGAAGATGGGCTTTTTTTCCCACTGTGTGATTTGTTTCACATGTTAGCCTTCACATCTTCCATGCTGACTAATCAAGTTCTCATGGTAATGGTTCTTTTTAAATTCCTTTTTGAAAATCAGTGATTCTCCATCTAATTTTTCTGTCGAGTATATCCTCCTAGCTCTTTTAAATAGAGTTTTCACCAGGGTTCATTTATAGCTGTTTGGACAAAAACTATTCCAATGTAAGTATTACCCATTCCATGTAGACTTTCAGTGAATTGATCTCTGCAGACTACCATCTTCCAGGTGTTGTATAGCAATGTCAAGCAAATGAAATCTTACATCATCATTTTCATGTTCCATAGTAAATTCAATATTCGTGTGTGAGTCGCTGAATAATCCGAGTAGGCAGGAAGCATGACTTTCATTGTTGCCCACTACAAATGTGTTATCGAAATGTCAACAATAAGAAGTTGTTTCGTCGACTGCATGCTTCAACTTTGTTTTCTCAAGGTGGTTGGACATGAAGATATCTGCCAAAACAGGGCCAATTGGACAGCCCATATAGCTACACCATCTATTTGTCGGTAAATAGTGTTGCCGAACTAGAATTGGACATCCATGGTACAAATTAGCAGTAGGCGTTTGAATTTGAACACTCGGAGTGGGTATGGGTGGAATAGGATAGAGAAGATCAAACTGCTGACAAATGATCTCAATAGTTTCATTGATTGGAGTCCTTGTGAACAAGGTGGTTGCATCAAATGACGCGATGAACTTATTTGAAACATTCATGTGGTTCACACATTATAGATTGCTGTTAATTAATCTATTTTTAAACTTGTTTATAATTTAACCAATAGTAAATAAAAATACCTGACATCAATGTTCAACATTTTACTGACATTGTTGGAATGTTATTCAATGTAGTCAGTTTTGCTTTTGTTCTTTTATTATCACAAAATCTGTTAAGCAAATGTTCATCAGCTATAGAGTGACTGTAACCTTCATTAACTGTAACAGCATTTCTCTGTATCTTCTTTTTTTTCTCTCTCTCAATATATATTTCTATAAGAATGCTTACTTTGTTTTTATACTTTTCTCTCTCTCTCTCTGCCATCATACCATCTTTAGGTTTGTTATTTGAAGCAACTCTTGGCTATGAAATTCCATATTTTGTAGCTGGTATGTTTATAATCATGTCTGCATTACTTTTCCTATTAATTGCATGCTACAATCGGATAGCCCATGTACTCACTAATCTCATATTAAGATATGACAAAGCGAAAACATCGAAATGTAAGTTTCAAAAAAGACTGTTGTTGTTATTGTTGTTTTTCGTATGTGTATATATAGTAGAGATTAACAAAAGCGTGTTGTTTTTAAAGAAAAATAAGAGACACAACCGCTGACAACACTTTCTATATGACTATTCCCTTAGGTTCTGAATGGAACACAGAGCTTCAACAGGAACATCTCCATTTCATTCTGTTCTACATAGTTCTGTTTAGCTGGCTCCATGGTTTCGCGTAAGCTTTTATCTCCTCATCATAAACAAAACTCGTCGTTTCCCATTGGCATCTTAATCAAGAGCCTAGTGCGTGATTTAATTCAACAGTTTCCTCAACGTGTGTCTGGTCCAGCTCCATACTTGTTGGGCAATATTGTTCTTGGTTAGTTCATTCCTAGAGTTCCTTGCTGGTTGACTATGTAATCTTCAATATGTGGAGCCAGAGAAGATGGCAGCTGCTGATAAGAGTCTGAAGCCCGTTGGGAATAGCTTCGGAGACATACCAAATCTCTGAACCGTTTAGAAGTGTTGAAGATCTAAGTCTTCTTCTTAATGGGTGGTAGTACAATACATTTCCAAACTGATTTCAGATTAAAGAAGATCTGTCTTATCTGTCTGATTCTTGCTTGGACTATAATGCTTTACAAAGTGTATTGATTTAGTAGGAAGTCGTTAACGATTCTGTTTGTTTTTTCTGGTCGCTGACTGACTGGTTTCAACGTAAAACTTTGTAAAAATGTGCAGCAGTTCGAGTTGCCACACTTCCTCCTAGTAGCACACAAAACAAGAGAAGAGAGTAAGGGTGGTTTCAAAAGAGAGATAATAAACTGATATATGAGGCGAAAAGAATAGTAATATCGAAGAACAATAGAATTTTATTGGATATTATAAATCACAAAGAGTGGATGCATCTGCACCACCATCGAAAACGATTTTGAGCTATATCACCAATTGTCACCATCCTTCATTAGTTGCCGCCATCCATCTCGAGGACCCCAACCAGTCAGAAGTCTACATCTCCCTACGTGTCGGCTGGCTTAAACTAACTGATGTGAATTTCATTGACTGATGAAGCTATGTTTTGGTTTGACCACCACTAGCCAACTCTTTTCCAACCTGATCCATCCTATGTCAACTAACACTGCTCGTCAGTTGGGGAAGGAGATTACTAGGCTAGGCATGCGTAACACATTTCCTAACCACGTCGGTCAATGTAGCTTCACACCCTTATAGGTTGATTTTCCTTTACCTGACACGCGATGCCTGACCTCAATATGTATGATCATCTATATATCCTAAAAGAGCGAAAGTAATTTTGTTTAGCGGTTTGATCACTATTTGACATAAATTATGGGTGCAATGGGAAACCTGTAAGGGGTACTGGACAACCATTTCGTCCTAGTTTGGACTCTTCATCAATTTGCACCCACTGGGTTTCAAAACCAATATCTTCTGGTTGCAAAGAGAACTCCTAGATCATCCAGCCATTGAGACCCAACCCAATGGCCCATGAACTCTTTTTTTCCCTTCACGTTCCCCAGTGGAACATAGGGCTTCAAGCTAGCGGCTTGAAGTTTCTGTAGCAGTGTTTATTTTACAGGATGGGGTTGCTGGCCTCATGACCAACCTTTCCTCTTCACCAGCATTATTTCTGGCTTAGCGAGGTAAAGGAGTGCGTCTGTGGCCGGGGATCGAACCCCGGACCATGTGCATGGTCGGCGATCGTCTTAACCGCTATGCCACCGACGCCCCATGAACTCTAACTTATGTTAATTTTATGCTTATTTTGAATATGACCATTGGAAAACCTGGGAGTACTCAACAGTTGTTTTGTCCTAGTTTCAGACTCTTCATCAGTACGCACTCGCCAGGGCTCGAACCCAGGATCTGCGGTCACTGGGACCCGATCGTAGAGTACAGAAGGTCGGGTGTGAGAACGAATACTCACCAGTGACATTGATTGCCTAGTAGTCGCGCTATATCGTGGATTGTCAGGAGCTAGAATTCATGGGCCATTTGATTCTACGAGCTTGCTTTGTAACCGGGACGTCCTTGTTTGGAACCCTGGCGACAGTGGGTGAGTGCTGATGAACAGTCCGAAACTGGGACAAAACAGCTGTCCAGTACTCTCAGCTTTTCTAGTGGTTCCCTAACCAATGTTAGCTCATAATGAAATCCTGTAACCAATCAATCAAAACCCCGGAAACCAACAATTGAATTTACACATTAGTTTAATTGTGATGCCAACCTGACTACTTCTCTCACCACTACTCATTATTCACACTTGTTCATCTGTTCCCACTCTCTTATTCCAGTGCATTTAGAGCAACAAGATGAAGATGGTCCGTTAAAACAAAAACTAAACAAAGGTGATGCAGATGACGATGATGATACCTGTTAACCTTGAATGAATGAATATCTTCTATCCTACCTCAAATCTATTCCAATTTATAAAATATAATATACAAATACTAACGAAAATCTTAATTTTGATATTAACATTCCTTCTATATATACATTATATCGTTTTCAATATTATATATATGTATACAACTCACACACACGCACACACAATACACACACCTATCTGTCTGTCTGTCTGTCTATCTGTCTATACATGCAAATCAAGAATCAATATGTAATATTTTAATTAAAAAATAATAAAACCAATAAACTGCTTTTGTTTTTATAATAACAAATAATGATGATGGTGATGATGATGATTTAATCGATCTCTCATGCTATCTGTAAACAAGGTCAACAACTCAACAGCATAGTAGATAGATAGAGAGTAGAGAGTATAGAGGTACTACTTTAGAAAAGTAACAAACTGCTACTATTTTACAGTACAGGACAATACATCAAGGTTACGTATTTATTATATGCCACGCAGACATTGATAAATATGCTAAGATGGGGTAAGCAGAAGAATAATGAGAAGAAGAACTAAATTTGGTAATAATATAGAGGTCATTAAATGTTAATTTAGCCATTGTATAGACAATCCATGCATATACTTCATTTTATAATACAACGTTCTTCTCAGAATACTGTGTTTCTTTCGTTATTTTATTCTTGATGCAGTTAGTTGTACTCTTTCAGCCCGGATGTTTTAATTGCAAAGCTTTCGTTGTCTTTGTAGACAGCATCTTCAGTGTAGTCGTCGACTACAGGGGAGAAAGTTTACTCTGAAAAGTAATGACTATCAAATTAGTTTACACAAAGTCTGATTATGATGTGTTGTGAGTAACGATTTAACTTGAGCGTGTATACAATTTAATTGATAGATTGTAGTTGAATAACACAAGTGATAGGATCCCACACACTTTGTTATTGTTCAATTATCTTAACGACTGTTAATCTCGCATAAGTGGTATATTATCATTTCCCAGGCACTTTGTTATTGTTCAATTATCTTAACGACTGTTAATCTCGCATACGTGGTATATCATCAATTCTCACGCATTTTGTTATTGTTCAATTATCTTAACGACTGTTAATCTCGCATAAGTGGTATATCATCAATTCTCACGCATTTTGTTATTGACTATTACGACCAATTATTTCAAATACTGTTAGATGTCTTTATCAATAGTAACTGGCGATTTTAACTCTTGTGATCACTCCTTCCTTATATCACTTGGCCATGACAATATTGTTAACTTTGCTACCCGTCTCGAAAAAACACTAGATCTAGTATTCATCAATGATGTTGGTATATATGAAGCTCGCAAACGTGCTCCTGTATTGAACTCTGACCACTGCATCATACGTGTACTACCCAAAATATATTCCAAATCACACAAACGTGTCTTCTCTCACCTCTACAGTAAATTTCAACGGAGATGCTACTCACAAGATAATCTAAGCAAACTCAGATGCATGTTGATAGATACTAACTGGGACCTATTTACAGAACAAACATTAAATGACACAATCACAAGCACCACAGATTATCTTAAATTCTGTTTGGAAATATGTTGTCCTAAAGAAACATTATTCACTCGTTTTGACCGTTTCTCTTCTCCATATCTCAAAAAGCTCCGTAGAGATAAAGAACTGTTGTTCAAAACAAATGATAAGTCAGGTGTAAAAAAGCTAAATCCTCTGATAAAACTCGAAATGCACAGACTAAATGTTTTATACAACCAAAGATTTTTGTCATGTAAAACCCCTTCTAGTTTATGGAAACTTTTTAAAGAAATAACTAGCGGTAAGCGGTGTAATTCTGTACAATCTCTTAATGTTAATAATCTTAATAAGTCTTTCATACGCTCCTCTGACGATATCCTTCCTAATGATACAAATCACATAGACAATAATTTTAATGGTTTTAATACCCTTGATGTGCTTAAATGTCTCCGTTCTCTTAAGCCTTCCCAAAGCCTTGGTCCTGATGGCGTACCTGCCATTGTCCTCAGGAACTGTGCTGATATTTTGTGTTACCCTCTTACTAATATTTTTAATGCTTCCTTTTCCAGTAATGTTCTACCTTCTGCATGGAAAAACATTAAAATTGTCCCTATACCAAAACAATCTTCTGGTACCGATAGTAAATTTAGGCCTATTGCAATTACTTCTCCTTTTTTAAAATTGATGGAAAAACTAATTTTACTTCGTCTTGAACCTTCATTGAAAGCTTTTAATGACCCTAAGCAATTTGCATATAAACATGGTAGAAGTACCTTGGATGCTGCGGTTGTCTTATATCATAATGTTGTTTCTTGTTTAGACAAAGGTGCCAAATATGTCCGTGGTGCTTTCCTAGACTACACATCTGCGTTTGACTCTGTACCTAGGGGCCTTTTATTAAATAAGCTCTCCTTGACGCACACAGCATCCTGGGCTAAGAGTTGGTTGCATTCTTATTTTTCTGATAGAATGCAGTATACTGCATATAATGGCAAATCTTCTTCTGCTTTGCTTACAAAAGCCGGTGTTCCTCAAGGTGCCGTCCTCTCTCCCTTTCTTTTTTCTTTCTTCTTACATGACCTGCCACATTTAAACGAAACCAATTTTGTCAAATATGCTGATGATCTGACTGTATCACTGCCTATCACTTCTGAGTCTGACTGCTCCAAACTTAATAGCTTTTTGTTGGACATCAGCATGTGGTCTAAGTCAAATGGTCTTATGTTAAATCCTTCCAAATGTCAGGCAGTTAACTTTACCTTCAACCATCGACGTGACATACATGAACTAGTTAGTTCCCATGATGCCTGTAGCATAGATGGTACAGAAATTGAAACCAAATCAAGCATTAAATACCTTGGATTAGTTCTTTCCTCGGACCTTTCATGGTCATCTCACATTTTATTGGTCTCTAAGAAAATGTTTCGTCTTACCTTCTACATTAAAAAGTTAAGACAACAAGGTATCAGCCAACCTTTAGTTCTGCGATTTTTAAACTCCTGTATTTTACCCATTTTACTTTATTGTTCTCCATTAATCTTTCCTGGGCTTCTTAAAAAGGACTATGCCGTATTACGAAGGGTATTAAATGCTGTGAGTAGGGCTTGTGGTTTGCCACTGCGTGATCTCGCCAATACCATAGTCGAGAGACACGTAAATTCCTGTAAAAATTGGGCAAAGGCCGTACTGTCAGACCCTCTACACCCTCTTTATTCACAATTATCCCCTTGTATCTCATCAGGTAGAACGAGAAGTCAATATAAGAAATTATATGCTCGTACCACTAAGTACAAAAATTCTACAATACCGTACTTAGCCCGTATTTTATGTGATGAAGACACTGTTAGACGTGAAACATATAAGTTACTATGTAATTAGCATAGTGAATCGACCCTTTCATTGTTCATCTTTCTGTAATTCTATGGTGTCACCCTTTCTATCGTTTAATTATAACTTTGCTATTTTTATTTTAGTTGTTATTACTATTATTACTATAATTTTATATTTTTCTCCTTATCCTCTACTGTAATTGCTACATAGCTCCTATAAAAACGTTTTGTTATCATTATTATGTATTAATTATTCCGTTTATCTACTTTTTTTGTTTGTTGTTGTCGTTTTTGAGTAAATTAGATGCAATACTGTACTGAATGCTGAAAATTCCTTGCTGTATCATTAATACTGTTTTTGGAATAAAGCAAAATTATTCTTATTCTTATTCTGTATTGGTTGTAAAAATGTATAAATACCATTTCCTAAATAAGTTTCTTTTATCGTAGTTTGTTGTACTACAATATACAGTCACAGACCAGACTTTGTCTTTTGATATCTGCGTGGTTCGCTGAATCGGAAGGTACCAGAAGCAGATAGGCATATTAGTCAGGCGCAGACAGAACAAGGCGACAACGTCCTCATTTAATTCCGCTACAGTTACAACAAATTGGCGACGAGGTTTACTTTAATATCCTCGCATTTATAACAACAAGCCAACCCAGTATTTCCTAGGCGAAAATAACAATACTTACTTAAGATCATATGAAAGAATTTAATCATTTCACACGAGTCATGATGATATTGTGGCGTGTGCTACTGATAAGATTTCTCAGTAGTATATGAAGAGACGTTCATCGGCACAAAAACATCAAATGGCAGGGAGATTTGATGTCAAAGAAAGCAAATGAACCAGTGTTGCAGAGAGATACATGGGAGACGTGAAAGGAATACAAAGAAACATAATATGGAGGCAAACAGTAGCACGACACAGAAGATCTGTGCAAATGGTGATTAGAAGACAAGCTACACATAATTTCGCTATATAGCAATACTATGTGTGATGGCTAGTGATACTACTTGGCTACCCATACCTCCGGTAGATGGGGCGGAACTTGAACCCCTGACCCACTTGGTTGGAAGTTGAGCTTTTATACCAATTAGCCACACACCTCCACGCCATAACATGTAGGATATATATATATATTACGAGACACACTAAAAATGAAGATATTAGCTAACCAAATTGCTAATTCTCTTCAGCAGGTTAAAAGTTACACAGATATCGAGGAGAAAGCTTTCACATAATTATACGTTACAATAATAACATGTTCGATAACTTCTTTCATGAGTATGACACTATATAATACTGATTCATCAAGATAAAGGGTTTGATACCACTCACGATACGTTAACGAGTAATGATGGCTAGTTAGCTGACTGGACCCTCTAAACTGAATCATAGACCAACCCATTTTATGATTCGCAATACGTTAAGATTGAGATACGTTGTGGTGGACTGGATTATGAGTCAGACAGTGGGAAATGAGAAGACAGGGATATCCTGGACCAACGTGAAGAACCTTGAAGACCTGGATTTCGCGGATGACTTATGCTTGATGTCACAAAAAATCGAAAACTTACAAGCGAAAACCGACAAACTGGTCGAAGAAGCAGCAAAGACAGGACTCCACGTGAACATAGACAAGACGGAGGTTATGAAAATAACCAACCAACCAACAACAACAGCAGCAAATTCCGGCGCCAATCACCATCAACGGGAGTGATTTGAAAGAGGTTACTTCTTTCACTTATCTAGGGAGCATTGTCTCAACTACAGGAGCGACGGACGAGGATGTCAAATCGAGAATCCGGAAGGCGAGAAACACATTCATCAACCTGAAATCAATCTGGAAATCTTCGTCACTCAACTCAGCATCAACAACAAAATTCGGATTTTCAATACAAACGTCAAGTCAGTTTTGCTTTACGGATCAGAAACTTGGAGGGTCACAAAGAATATTTCCAACAGGTTGCACACCTTTATCAACAACTGTCTTCGTTCTATACTGAAGATCAGATGGCCGGAAAGAATCACCAACAAGAAGCTATGGGAACAAACGAAACAGGAACCAATCGCCCAACAAATATGCAGGAGAAAGTGGAGATGGATCGGACACTTCTTGAAGAGGCCGCTGGGTGACACCGTGCGTCAGGCCATAGCTCGAGTGGAACCCGAAAGGGAAGTGGCGAGTGGGACGTCCAAGGGTGACATGGAGGAGATCGTGTGAAGAAGAGTTGAAACAGTATGGACTAACATGGATGTAAGTGAAAAGTACAGCAGAAGACAGAAGCAAGTGGAGGCGTGCAGTTCCACTAGGAACCCAAGGGAACAATAACAATATAATAATGAGATTGAAATAGGGTTGTCGAGTGGAACACACGCGCTGATCACCTATGCCACCAATAACACTAAACGACAGCTACCTGTTTCTCTAGTCCACACTACTTAAACGAGAACCCACAAAGGCATAACCCGAAAAGTATATTTCACGCAATAATGTATGGTTCAAAACATCATGAGCAGCGATATATGAATTAATCTGTAATCACAATCGATAAAATATTGGCGTCATTTTACGTTGGTGTCAATTCTGATTGACTTTTCCATTCTGGAAATCGAACACCATATCACTCTTGACCCATTCATTAATGGTGAAAAAAGACAACCTAGCTATTCTAATACTTCACATATTTTAGAGACAACGATTCAAAATGTTTGTGGAAACTGTAGTGATTAAGAAGTTCAAAGACAATTTGTCACACACTAAGCCTCCCTTGGTTAACTTTGTTTTGATATCAGGACAGATGTGCGATTATCTCCACTCTTGGCCTTCAATATAGCCTCTTAACTTGATCAGATTGTTCGAAATGTGTAAAGTAAATACACTACACGATTCAGATAAAGTACATCTTATTGTTCTTACTGCTTCTACGAAATCAATGCAAACATATGGATACTGCCATATTGTCGAACGACACATAATGAGATGAAGAGTGATTGTTTCTCCAAACTTTCAGAGATAGACCATTAAGAAGACTTATAGCTAAGTAGGGTGAGTGATCTAATATAATTGAGAGGACTGAGTAGAAGAGCTCAACTAAAATAGAAAAAAAAGGGTGAAGTTAAGATCAGTGTCATGAAGAGTAGAGAGGGAAAAATTTGAAGAAAAACCTTGGATTAGCAAGTAAGATCGCCACATGTAGCTGTATTCTGGAACACTTGATCAACTCTAAACACTAAGCCAACTTCAAAATAATCTACGGAGTACGTAGAAATCCTCCCAAAGAAATACAAATCAGACTTCTTCATTCTGCAGAAACTGTGTCAATCCACACGTTAAAACCTGAACTCTTCACGCCAGAAGTTGTTTAATCACTGGATTCTTAATAGAACTAATTTGTCTAAACGCTCGATATATGATTTTTTTCAAACTTTAGTATTCTTCTCTCTTCCCCTAACTACATTTTTACTCCTCATGACACTGACCTTAACTTTATTCACCGTCTTTCAATTTTAGTTGGGCTGTACTGAGTCCTGTCAATTATATTACATCACTCAGTTTACTTATTTTATTTTAGTTCCTATCTGGTTAATGTTTTTTGCATTACGTAATTGGTGTCAAAACCTTAGGATTCTAACGATTTAACCGTCAGTTAAGGAGTAGTTCAGCTCACTTCTGACTGACTCAGAAGGGTTCTAGTGTTCTTCCTCAGTGATACTACGTAACGTCTCCAATTTTGCTCTAATGGCTGTATACTGAAGGTGTCTTTTGTAGTTTCGCCCTTCGGTTTCTTAGTGTTGAACTTGAATTGTGGTCTATCTCCTGTTCCTTTGAAGGCTTTCAAAATGAACTTGAGGGTTCTATGCACTAGATATATACATCAAGCCACCCTATATGAGTGATCATAGTAGTTTGGTAATAACAGAAAGACCGAATACTGCATTTTAAAAGACTTTTTGTGCAGGTAAGAACCGGATAATTGAAAATTTGAAGTCTATGTATCCATCTAAACCCTTAGAGTATACAAAAAATGATGTCAGATGCTGCTTTACCATACCAATTCAGATGTATGTGTGGTCACATACACACAGACATGGGCATGATTTATCACCCCATACAATTAGCGGCTTCAGAAGCAAGTTGAACGACGTCATGTGCCAGGCTGTCAAGTGGTTCTGGATTAGGAAATAACGAATTGGGGACGTGAGTTCGATAATACCATGGAGTTAATCTTGGAGTTAGTTAAAGATGACTACAAAGAATAGAATGAGAATGCAAAAAGTGTTGTTGAAGCCCTGTGTTCTACGGAGAACTCTACGAGGAATAATAATAATGATAATCTCACTGATGAGTTGGAGAATGCTTCGTGGTGTTTTGACCATTTTATATCTCTTTGTAATCATATAATAGAGAAACAACTAAGATAATTGAAGCCACCCACCTACCTGTTGTATGAATTCATCGAATACACACACACACACATACCATGGAAACAATTGCTGTTACACCACCACCACCCCTCCCAACACACACACACACACAGAACAACTGTTTCTATAGAAAGTATTATATTGTTTTAGTAAACAATGTGTGTTCTTAAAAAATTTTTTTACAATTATTGTAACAATAAGAGGCAATATACGTGATAGACAAAGGTGGAAAGGATTAGAAGCGGTAGAACGTAGAGTCGACAGTGTCATTCAGTCACAGTCGATTAACAGAAACACACACACGAACAAACACAAAAAAGAACGCTGAATATGATATGTCGTTCAATCATTCACGCATTCACAATTAAAAAATTCTCTTGTATGAAAGACGTTACACATTTAAAAAAAAATCTTTTTAAAAAAACAAGGATATGTAATAGAAATGTTTAAAAAGAAGGCAAATAAAGTGGAATAAGAAATTTCAGCAAATAAATAACAACGACAATAACAAAAGAAAACAAACTAGAGACTGATATGAACTTGTATTTCATCGAAATGTCATTTTGACTTTTTCTTCCTTCAATTCTTCTTTGGTAGAATAATGTACACACATTAGCGCGAATTAAGTTCGTATTGTCGCTTGAGTTCCATGACGTAGTTGTCGACGTCGTGAACTTATTACAATCCATACAGACATTGAAAGTGCAAGGAGATCAGATATAATAAGCATAGCAAATACAACAGACCAACCATATGGTACTAGTAGACCAGTTAAAAGTGGACCTAATGCAGCACCTTTTAAAAAAATGAGAGAAAAAAAGGAAGTAACAAAGATGATGTAAAAACTATCGTCCCAGTGAATCAGTCAATTATAAGAAAGTAATTAGTGTAGATTTGTGATAATGATGATGACGATGATTGATGTTAAATGTCATACACTCAAACTCGAAGACTTAGAGGCAGGCGGAAACCAACAGACTGGCAGGCAGCGAAGACAGGACTCTAGGTGAACACAGAGAAGATGCAGGTGATGAAGATAACCAAACAACCAACCGCAACAGCAACAACAACCAGCACCAATCACCATCAACAGGAGAGATTTGACAGAGGTTACCTCCTACCTTCACTTATCTAGGAAGCACAGTTTCAGCCACAGTCATCGGAATGGATGAAGGTGTCAAAACCAGCCATCTAGAATCGGAAAGGCAAGATACATCTTCATCAACCTGAAACCAGTTTGGAAATTCTCTGCACTCAGCCAGCACAAAGAACAAGATTCGGATTTACAACACCAATGTCAAGATAGTCAGTCAGTTCTCTTACACAGGTTAGAAAGTGACACTGCATGTCACGAAAAGCATTTCCAACTAGTTATAGACTTCTTTTATCAACTGCCAGCTGCCTTCACTGGCTGACTCCATACTGAAGATCAAATGGCCTGACAGCCGGTCGGGAAGAATTAGCAACAAGAAACTCTGGCTGAAAACAAACCAACCAAGAGCCGATTGCTCAACAAATATGTAGCAGAAATTGGAGATGGATAGGGCATACGATGAGGAGATCATCGAATGACATCGCGCTCAATGCAAGTCATCGCTCTAGTGGAATCCCAGTGGGAAGCGACGAGTGGGTCATCAGTGCGAGGATGACATGGAGGAGATGAGAGATTGTGGGCAATCGTGGTCCAAGCTTAAGACGACGGCGGAAGATAGGACCAAGTGGAGATGTGTCGTTGAAGCCCTATGTTCCACTCGGAACTCAAGCGAATGATAATAATTAGTGTAGATTTAACCCAATTATCTTAGGTTACCACACAAGACTACACTGATTCTAAAATAATAACTCCAGGTATCGATAGTTAGTAAAAACTAATATAGTTGTTATTTTTGGCATTGATTTTTTTTGGCGCTATGCCAAACGACGATCTCATTACTTATTCCTTTGGGCTTCCGAATGGCTGTAACAGCACATGTCCAATTCACCCTCTTCTTTTTTTTAGCTGGCTTCAAGATTTCCCATAAGTATTCATTTCCTTCTCACACGATCTGCTTCTTGTCACCCTCGATTTCATGCTCAACTAGTTTTTACCCATTTGGGTCCCACTCAGCGCACTGGCTAGTACGTGACGTCACTCAAAGGTCTCATCAATGAAGACCTTTGAGTCAAACTCATAATTTGCAGATTAATTCGCAATTTTCACATTCATCACAAGCATTCAATATTATTTCACTTGCTAGATTTCTTCACGAATCAGTGCCAATTACCAAAGAATCATTGAAAACCAAGAGGGAGTACTGGACAGCTGTTTCGTCCTATTCTGGGGCTCTTCACCAGTGAACACCCATAACTCCATCAAGGATTGAATCCGGGACATACAGGTTATGAGGCTAAGCTCATTGAGACCATCCAACCAATTAGACGGAATTCAATGACCCATCAATTTTAACTTCTGCCAAGTCACGGTTATATTGGAAATTAATCTAATGTTCACACTAATCACTGACTACAAGATGAAGCTGCCTGAAGTTTTGATGGGAAGTCGTAACCAGGTGAAGTTCAACAATTTGGTTGTGAGGACAAATACTCATCAGTTAAACTGGCTGGCTCACATGCTATATACGTCGCAAATTGGCCGAAGTTCACCGAACATTGGACTTCATTTTAATGGCTGAATAGTTAACGAGCTTGCCTTGTACTTCTAAAGAGTACGAAACAGGGAAGAAACTGCCGTCCAGTACTTCGTTGTGATTTTCAATGGTTCTCCAACTAAAGTCAGTTACTAGTGATCAATCTTGGAATTTAGTGTTTTTCAAGGTTTTTCGAAACCTCTTTATCCATCCATCATCACTGTCTAGTGTTTTGACTGTTCTTTGAGACAGTGAACCCTCTTACCCTTTTCCCTATTATTTTCGTAAGCTGGTAGTTTGATTGTTGTTGACTCTGGTTGACGTTGCAATTAGCGATTAGGTTAGTTATCGTCGGTCAACTACTTAGGTTGTATTACCCTGCTGGTCATAACACTTCGTTATCTAAACTCTGACTTTCGAACTGGATGCTCATCAAACATTATCTAGAAAATTAATAATTCTCAAAAATAGGAAGAAGTTGACTTTTATACATCCTCTAATATTTGGATTTGTTATGAAGGAGTGTTACTGATTTATGGGATTGCCGTCTAACTTGATTAGAATGCACCTCAACGAATCAGTTGAATTTATCATCTCCCACACAGAGATAGACACAAAAACCTGAATAAGAAAAATCGACGACGACTGGCAACAACATCAGCAACGTTTATAAAACAAAACATACGGCATATCATATTTACAAAACTTCAGGAATTTAAGCTATAGGCAAATACACAAATCTGATTGGTTGCATGTATGACATCTCAATTCCTCAGAAATTTAAACCATAAATAAACCAATCAAAAATTGTCCAATCAAATTATTATATAAGTCAACTTATAAATTACGATTAGCAAAGAAGCTTGCCTACCCATTACTATCATCCAATAAATGACAAGAAAATGAATAAATCGATAGGCCAATGGAAATAGGACTCCACTAGTCTCATACATTTTTTTCCAAATTAAAAAGAATGCTGTAGCTGTATATTTAAGGTCAGATGCGAATGAAAAATACTGATGTATATATATCACGAAAACTGTTCGTGAGTCCAAGTCATTTTAGGGCACATTTTGATGCATTACCATTCATTCATCTTCTAAAAGTGACTCTTCCACCACAATTTGCTACACTGATTTTTCACAGATTAATAAGTGCTTCTTAAAAGATTAACACAAATTAAAACTTTTGCATTTAATGCATCACAAACACGCACTTACAAGTGAGCACGTAAGTCAGACAAGGAAGCAGTGATATTGATCGGTCAAGTCCGAGAGAAAGTGATCATACACAATAGGCGACTAAGTTAAATTTAGTAGGTATTACAACATTTAAATTTTTTAGATTAATAAATTTAGATAAACAGTATATCGCTCCTGTTCCACGAACGTCCATGAATATATAGATGATATTTAATTTTTCTAATTATTTTATTATAGCTTGATTCCACAGTATTTTTTTAGTGCAACTATGGAATTTTCAACATGTGATATCGGTAGCCCAAATTTAGCAGACCTACCATTGATATCAGGTGTGCGTCAGTGGGGGATCGAACCCCGAACCATGTACATGGTTGGCGGTCGTCCTAACTTCTGTGCCACCAAAACATATCTTAATGAAAAGATAATTCTACCAAACGTTTACTAAATTCACAAATTCGAGGCTGTTTTTCAAAGAGTGCGTCACTATCATCTTTCTAACAGGATTCGAAATTTCTGCTAGTCATTGAGCTAAAAAAAATCGTGAGTTGACTTAGAAATATCTAAAAGTGGACCCATGGATAACTCTGGAAGAGCACCAGCGGGAGATTCTTTAGATGTGCCCATGAACACTCACCAGCATGGTGGTTGTCAAAAAGGATAACGTAGAACAGCCAAGAGGCGGATTTTGAGGTACATTATAACTTCTGGTCATGCAGCGTCAGCAGAGACTTCTTTCAGAGTCATACATCAAAAAATGTACGACCAAGTTATTTGAAAGGATTTCGCCTACATGCAGCCGAAACCTTGGTAATCCAATAAGGGAAAACCTGAAGTTTGTGTTCAGAAACGTTTCATCCAGTCTCTTTTATTACCATGACCTTAGTATTATTTATGTTTTATGCAACTCATTGCCAGTCTTTTTTCCTCTTGTCTCTTATGAGCTAATTCCAAAACGAGTTGTCAACCCTCTTGATGATGACGTAAAACTACTCCTAATTTTTCAAACATGGTTTTTACTCATTTACTTTGATCTGCTTTCTACCTTGACTAATAATAACCTTTGACCTCTGTTTTCAATCTACATTGCACATTTAAGCACCCTAAATAATTTTGCAGTCTTGATGTGAAATTACGAAAAGAAATCTGTTTCCTGACTCATTTATTCTATTTATGAAAATCTACTGATTCAAATAATTTATATATTTGAATACCTACTAAATATATTCAGGAACTAATACTCAGAGGCGCATTCAGTATCCAATATTTTTATTTTTTTTAGTTTATTATGGCTTGACTCCACACAGTATTTTGGTACAAGTATGGAATTTTAAGCATGTGATATCAGTAGCCTGAATTTAGCGTGCCGACCATTGATATCAGGTGTGCGTCGTCCTGGGATCGAACCCCGGACCATGTGCATGGTTGGTGAGCGTCCTAACCGCTGTACTACCGACGCACTAGGTGGCCCTAAAAACGACCGGTTTTACGTTCTCTGGCTCCCAAGCCACACATCGATGAACTTAGGCCTTCACCTTGTCGGTCTTCTTAGGCAGCAACACAGCTTGGATGTTAGGCAGAACACCACCCTGAGTGATGGCCACACCACCGAGCATTTTTTTCAATTCCTTATCGTTGCGGATGGCCAATTGCGAGTGACGAGGGATGATGCGGGTGTTCTTGTTGTCATGGGTGGCATTACCAGGCAATTCAAGCACTTCAGTGGCCAGGTACTCGAGAAAAGCTGCAGAGTAAACGGGAGCTCCAGCACCGACACGTTCGGCGTAGTTACCCTTGCATAACAGACGATGCACATGATCAACTGGGAAATGAAGACCAGCACGATCAGATCGAGTTTTAGTCTTAGTAAGAGACTTTCCACCTTTGTCGCGTTATAGCAGAGAAATGTGTACAGAGGGACGGGATCTCCATTTGGTCCAATACTTGACAACTGTTTTATACCACATCTAGAATCAAGTACTCTATAACCAGCTATAAATCGATTCAAAGTTTCCATAAGAGGGTTCTATAGACAGAAGAGAAGAAGAGACCCTTTCTTAGATGTTCATCTTTCGAGAACTGACGGATCAATTCAGCACAAATCAAAATGAAATGAACAGTTGACTAACTTCTACAGGTTTGTTTCATTAAGTAGAAGAAAAAAAAGAAAAAACCTGATCTAATCCCGTTTATCATAAGAATCAGTTGGATATTCACAGAAAACAAATACTAAATAGAGAATTGGAGACTTTATGAAGCATTCTCCTAACCCTATTCTCATCGGCTTACACCCCAAAGTAATAAATACAAGGTGGAAGGGTGGCCGGTTCGAGTCTCAGCGGGAACCTTATCACTCATTGGAGCTGCAACTACATCTAGCTGACGAGTCTAAAGTGGGACGAAACACACATCCTAGATTCCACTGCTAGCCCCACCAACCAAAAATAACATCATGTTAGTCTTTAGACAAAGTCGAAGTGTCCATATTAAGAGGCGAAATGCCAACAGATCGTAAGCGTTTTCGTCTAGTATAATCAACCAACTGGAAATACAAGTTAACTTAGAACAAATGTTATGCGTTTCGTTATGAACCTTTAACTTAATAAATAATACAATGTATAAAAATAGTTTATATTACAGAAACACAGCTAACTAAATAATTGTTTAAAGCAAATAATGTGTTAGGATGGACAAGCTTCATTTGTTAGCCGTGAATTCATGATTTCTGCATGTGTTGACACGAATACCTTAATGGATAGTTTTGATTCGTTTATACATGGCTTAATTTTCTGAGGTCAAGCAACCAATCAGTTTTGTTTTATTTATGGCTAAAATTTCTGAGGGTTTGCAAATAAAATATACCAATTATTTTGTCCAGTAAAGATGAATTCTAGTGAAATCAGGCAAGACCGCAACCCAGTATCACTCCGTCCGCCATAACAAGTACTTACTACATGGAGGATTTAATCATGAGCTGATATCAGATAGAGAACCACTGGAAAACCTGGGAGTACTGAACAGCTGTTTTGTCCTAGTTTGGGACTCTTCATCAGTACGCACCCACCGCCAGGGTTCGAACTCAGGACCTTCTGGTTACAAGGCTAGCGAGCTCGTAGACCATTCACAGCCACTGGGACCCAATCCCATGGTCCATTAATTCTAACTTCTGCCAATTCACGACATAGCGCAACCCTTTCGCAATGTCTTCTTCGATGAGTTACTGCCTCATCTTCAACCTGCTGTACCCTACTGGTCACGGCTTCCCACTAGAACCCCAGGTTAACTGCCTGAATATGGCCAGTCGCTAGTGAGCTAATACTTATTAGACAACTTTTATACAAACTCTTCCAAGCAGTTTTTTTATCATTCCTTCATACTATTGGAGATTCAGTAGGAGTGGTGTTATTAATTTTCTAACGAGGTGAAGCCTCTAACCTTACACTCACTCAACCGTAACTCTTTTCTCAGGTTACTCTACCCTACTAGGCAAGGCAGACCAAGGCTTTGACCACCTTAGCTAGCAATGTTGTATCAATAACCTAGAGATTTCATTTCTTTTATGAATTCGTAAAATTATGATTGTGTTTTAATGTCATCTAAGATGACACAAAAACACACAGACATTTTTACATAATTCTATCGTAGTGAGTGTGTTTGTTGACAAGTAACAAAGATTACGAGGACAAAACGGTCAAAAATCAATATACGTGCAAAGAAAATATGATTTTTCAGTTGTTTTTTTTTTTCTTAACTTCTAGTGATGCCGCAACTGATATCCTTAAATCCAACAACTTTAAAGCTATAAAAGATGTATAAACTAAAATGTGCCATATCATTAACGATTCCGCTCAGTAATGGAAATCAAAATATATATACGTGAAAGAGGCGACTTGAAATTTCTCCCTGTGATGATGACTTGTGCTTGTTGTGGTTGCTGGTGGTGGTCAGTTGGGTATCTCTATCACCTCCATCTTCTCCATGTTCACTTAAAGTCCTATCCTCGCTGATTCTGATGTCAAATTGTTGGTTGTCGCATACAAGCCTTCAAAGTTTATGCGACATTAGGCATAAATCGTCAGAGGAAATTCAGATCTTCAAATGTCTTCTCGTCTGTCCAACATATGCTTGTCTTCTCGCTTCTCATGGTCTGCACACATGATGCATCCAGTCCACCACAATTAGGAATATCATCGGTAACTAATAGGCAACCTATTTTAACGCCTGTCTTCACTTTAAAGGTTTCCTTAAATTCTCCACTGGGAATCACTTCACATGTGGCATCTCATCATACGGCTGCTGAATGAGGTTCATTCACGTTTAAAGTACTCTGCAGTATTGAAGCAGTTTCTAAATTACGCCATAGTCAAGGCTATCAAAGACCTCTCCAAAACCAATGAAATTAAGATAGATATTTGACTGCCATTTCTATACTCTCTCCGATGATGCGTCGGTGGCACAGCAGTTAGGACTTTCGCCAACCATGCACATGGTCCGAGGTTCGATCCCCCGCCGACGCACAGCTGATATCTATGGTCGGCCTGCTAAATTTGGGCTACCGATATCACATGCTGAAAATTTCTTACTTGTACCAAAATACTGTGTGAAATCAAGCTATAATAAAATTTTTTAGAAATGATAATGCGTAAAGTTGCAGTTTGATCTGCACATGATCTGCTTTTCCTGTAACCAGCTTATTTTAGACAGAGTTCTGCATCCACAGCATCTTTTGATCTCTCCAGAATGACGCAGCTTAGAGTGGAGAGGAGAATGATTCTATGACAAGTTTTCCAAAGGATTAAATCAGCCTACTTCGAGAGTTTGACAAAGTATCCCTTCTTCCGACCAGTGGCTACCTTCCCTTCCATCCAAAACTTATGTAATAATGGTGTAAGTATATCTACTGTGGTCTCTGGATCAATTTTCAGTGCTTCTGAGGGTAAATATATATATATTTAAATTCACTCAACTCACCTAATGATCCCATTCCATCAATTATAGCTGTAATTGTTGCTAAAGCACGTGCTCGTCCTTGTAATGCTGTTTGAGTACCCAAATCAGCTGAAACAGCTGTTGTAACCAAAGCATAAGGACCATTGACTGCAGCTCCACAACATGTTAGCACAACTAAAATCAATAATAACCAGAGGAAACAACATCAGAATAACATTGTGAATTCACTATTAACATCGAAATATTTACCGACGATGACATCAAAATGTAGAAACAAAGAGAAAAATAACAATGTAGAACTCGATAAAATGATGTATCTGGTGTTTATAGTACTCACACAAACACATACACGCACACACAAAACTGATAAGATTAAAACTTGACAGAAGGAAACTTTCAATGAATAGTATAAGAATTTATTAAACTAAAGATATTGGGAAATTTTAGTAGATCGAATCAGTAGGTAACACACTAAGTTAGATTTCTATTTGTTTAAATGCAACAGTAAACTTTTGACTGAAGGCAGACGATATATTGGCTAGACCATTCAAATACATTAGAATAAATGTATCCATATACTAGTGCATCACTCATAATCCTATGTTGTCTTTTAAATCCTTTCCATTCTTCTTTATTGCTCCCCCTTCCACTTATTCTTCCCTGGACTTCTCAAGAAAGGCTATGTCATATCATGTAGATCATTGAAGGCTGTAAGTATAGTTAGTGGTGTGTGTCTTCGAATAAACTAACTGACATTGTTGTTGACAGACATTTTAATTCGTGCAACCAGTTAATTAAAGTCATCCTGCGTGATACCGAACATCCTCTTTACTCGCAACTTCATCCCTGTGTCTCTTCGTGAGGTGACACTTGAAGAAATTCCATAAGAATTCATGGTCGTACAGCAAAATGTAATATTCTGCCATACTATATTTAGTACGGATTCTGTGTGAAGACGTAAATGCCAGAACAGGGTTTATAAACTTTTAAAATCAGTAACTTGAAAGTATAAGTGAAAATTATTAATACATGTATTATCTGTTATATTATTCACTTATTATTCATTAAGTCCCACTAATCACGAACCAAGCCCTCAAATCGAACTCGAATGGGGAGAGACGATCGGGTCGTCCGAAGGTGTCATGGAGGAGATTGTGCGAGGAGGAGATGAGAGATCATAGGCGATCGTGGGCCCAGCTGAAGAGGACAGGTGGGGGATGTGTTGTTAAAGCCCTATGCTGCACTCGGAAGCCAAGGAAGCAATAATATAATAATAATGTTTCACTAACTTTCACCTTTTGTGGTTTTTCTATTATTTTTTTCAGTTCTATGTATTCATATATTTATAAAGGCAGCTAAATTGTTGCAACATGTATGAAACGTTGAAAATTCCATTCTGTATTATTACCATGGTTTGGAATAAAGTGACTATTATTATTCATAACTTAACAAACTGCCGTTTACTTACATTTCAGACTATTCACATTTCACAAACATTTGATTGGATTGATAGGATACTCATTCGAATTCTTCCTTTCACTTTTGTGAGGAAAAACCCCACCGCGTGAAAGCAGTGAATAAGACTTACGTGACAGAGGCCCTGAAATTGTGGCCATATGATAGGCATTTAGAGACAGGACCAGGTTATTTATGTGCCCAAACTATGAAGTGTCAAACAGCCACTTCGTCCTTGTTTGGGACTCTTCATCAGAAGTACCTATGACCCCACTTATGAGGCTTAAACACCCAAAACCTTGTGTACACCATCCACCCACTGGGATGGTTTTAAAGTAACTGTAAGCATGTTAGAATACAAATACTCTCTAGATCACTATTGTTCCTAACAATAATAGAATTTTTTCAAAAACTCATGTTCCATTAGCCTATAGGCTTTTATGTATCAAAACGCCTAATAAATCATATTGTCTGAGGTAGGATTTTAAGTTGAATTAGTTATGAGTGAAGTACACTGCTTATTCATAACCATAGTAGTCATGTGGTGAACATTTTTATCAATGAATTTTGATATACAAATTCCTTCTCTTTTACAAACCTGGGAAAAGACAAAACAAAAATATGAACCTTTATGTAACGGATTAATTGTTTGGAAAAATCACCCCCCCCCAGTCATCAATCCTTTTACAATATTGATACTTATTCCTTTGTAAGCATTATCCCCCTTTTCTCTTAGACTGTATATCTCATTGTGTTCCAACAGTTTGCATATTACCTGTTAACTTAATCCATATTGTTTATCTTTGTTCTTGTTTAATTCCTAATTGTAAGGCTTCTCGCTTTGTGGTTGCGTGATGTTGTTGATAAGAATGCGTGTTTTTTTTCCTTCACGTCTCCCAGTGAAACATAGGGCTTCAAGCTAGTGGCTTGAAGTTTCTGTAGCAATGTTTATTTTACAGGATGGGGTTGCTAGCCTCATGCCCAACCTTTCCTCTTTACCAGCATTATTTCTGGCTCAGCGAGGTAATGGAGTGCGTCGGCCGGGGATCGAACCCCGGACCATGCGCATGGTCGGCGAGTGTCCTAACCACTATGCCACCGATGCGTGTTGTTTTACGATTGTGATTTCTTTTTCTTTTTTTTGAATGAATTCCAAATTATATCATGGGGATTATTTGACCGTGAACTGTCAGCGGAAACTGTTTATTGTGTTTGGAGAGAGCCTATGGAGAGTTGTTATCAAAAGTGATGACAACTGGTGGTGTCCGTCAGTGATGCCCATTTCTCTTTAACTTTATCAGAGGTGTTTTAATGGACTTAACCCTAGCGGACTTCAGCGAATCAGGGATTGACTTATTGATACCAGGGAATAATCTCGTTGACTTAGAATATACGGATGATATAGTTTTTCTAGGTGAAGACGCTGAGAAAATACAGTCTTCTGAACACCTTGAGCTGAGCAACAATCTTGAAATGTTTGGCATGCGATTTCCTCCTGTAAAATGTAAGATGATGCTACAGGATTGGAATACATTGACTACTCCTAGCTTAAACATAGAGAGTGAAGTGGTAAAGCGAATGGGCCACTACAATTATTTGGGGAGTTGCATCAGCCAGTGCCAGTGGGTTGATCGCCGACAAAATTTCAGAAGCGATACAGAAGGCTCTTTAGGCATTCGGTTACCAGCTTACTCCAATTCTGGCTTAGCAAAGGTAATATCCGGCTGGCTGTTGACCAAAGGGTGTGTGTATTGCTCACCAGTTCGCTCTGTCTTCATTTATGGCTGTGAGTGAGACATAGTTACTGAAAGTGGAAGATACGAAAAGGTCAGACAGCTGTCTTTGATCATAGATGCCTGCATTCCATCTCCCGTGTTAAGTGGTATAGTAGGGTGAGGAATATTGAGATTATGCGTCCGTCGAGTGATAGGTAAGGAGGGAAAATCAACCTAAGAGGCTGCGAAGTTACATCGATTGAGATGGTTAGGACATGCGTTACACATGGCCAGCCTAGCTATTGCCTTCCTCAACCTACTGGCAATGTTGGCTGACATAGGATTGTTGAGGTTGGAAAAGTGTTAGTGGCAGCCAAACCAAAAAATGGCGTCGGTCAATGAAATCCACAACAGTTAGTTTACGCCAGCCAGCCTGCCAGTCACGTAAGGAGGTGTAGACTGCTGTGTGGTTGGGGTCCTTGGGATAGTAAAAAACCAGTGGCTGAAGATAATTGGTGATATGGCTCAAACTCGTTCTCGATGATGGCGCAGATGCATTCACTCTTTGTGATTTATCACATAAAATAAAATTCTACTGTTCTTCCATATTTCTACTGTTTTTGCCTCATATTTTTGTTTATTAAATCTCTCTCTTTTGAATCTCTCTTCTTTTGCTTTGTTGGCTGAATGGAATGTGGCAACTCGACCTGCTGCACATGTGTGCAAAGTTCTATGTTGGAACCAGTCAGTCAGTGTGTCTGGATTCTTCCCACCAGAACTTTGATCCCAATATTGTTGATAATATTCTACTTGATTCTCAGGTACTCGTTTTGTACTTGAGAAATCGTTGAACTGTGTAGCTCCCCAACAGCATATAAGACTGTTTTTGCTACCATGGAAATATTCTGAGACTGTGAGTCACTCGAGGGAGTTTGCTTAGCTATACAACATAAGAACGCACCGATTCCTTCTCTGTATTCAGAGTGGAATACGGCTTCGGTCGTTACAGTTTATACGAGTCAGTCGGTTCTTTCAGAGGCAAACAGCAGAAACAATACAGTATTAGCGAAAAACAAACGACTCCTTAGTAATAAGGAATACATAAGGTATAAGTGTGACAAAGATTGTAATAATCATAATAATCAGGAAAACTATTCCTAACTCAGATCGCTTTCCTCTTTAAGTTAAGAGTTATTATTATTGTTATTATTGCCTTGCATTCCGAGTGGAATATAGGGCTTCAACAGCCCATCTCCATTCCTCTTTAGGTAGCCCCACGATTTCCAATGGGCTCTCATCTCCTGCTCATACGATCTCCTCCACTTCGCCTTTGAACGCCCAACCCGCCTTCCCTCAATCGGAGACTTGGCGGGTGATGTTACCTGACGACCTCCTCAGCGTGTGTCCAATCCATCTCTATTTACCTCGGCATATTTATTGGACAATGGGTTTTTAATTGGTTCATCCCCAGATTTTCTTGTAGCTAATTCTTTCTGGATGACCATCTGATCTTCAGTATCGAGTGAAAGCAGCTGTTGACGAAAGTCTAAAGCAGGCTGTTTGATGAAATGCTTTTAGTGACTCATCATGCCTCTGAAGCATATAGTAGCTCTGACTCAACATTAGTGTTGAAGATCCCAATTTCGTTCTTTATGTTGAGTGCAGAAAATCTCCAAACTGATTTTGGAGTGACAAAAGTCTGTTTTGAATTTCTGATTCTTCCGTGCTGTCACATGTAGTTGAAACGATGCTACCGAGATAAGCGGAGAAAGTAACCTCTTTTAAATTTCTTCGGTTGACAGTGATTGGTGCTAACTTATGTTGTAAGCTGGTTATCTTCATCACCGTCTTCTTTTTGTTCATCCAAAGTCCTGTCTTTGTTGGGTGATTACATAAAATTACTTGTAAGTTTGAAATATACACTCATAACAGTAAGGAGGGGAAGTCAACTGATGAGGTGATGAAGCCAAACTGATCATGATGGGTAAGACATGATATGCATCC